TTGCCTGTCACAGGTTGAACCTTGCCTGTCACAGGTTGAGCCTTGCCTGTCACAATTTGGACCTTGCCTCACAGGTTGAACCTTGCCTGTCACAGGTTGAACCTTGCCTGTCACAGGTTGAACCTTGCCTCACAGGTTGAACTGTTTAGCTGGTCTGTCACAGGTTGAACCTTGCATGTCATAGGTTGAGCCTTGCCTGTCACAGGTTGAACCTTCACAGGTTGAGCCTTGCCTGTCACAGGTTGAACCTTGCCTGTCACAGGTTGAACCTTGCCTGTCACAGGTTGAACCTTGCCTGTCACAGGTTGAGCCTTGCCTGTCACAGGTTGAACTGTTTAGCTGGTCTGTCACAGGTTGAACCTTGCATGTCATAGGTTGAGCCTTGCCTGTCACAGGTTGAACCTTGCCTGTCACAGGTTGAACCTTGCCTGTCACAGGTTGAGCCTTGCCTGTCACAGGTTGAACCTTGCCTGTCACAGGTTGAACCTTGCCTGTCACAGGTTGAACCTTGCCTGTCACAGGTTATACCTTCCCTGTCACAGGTTGAACCTTGCCTGTCATAGGTTGAACCTTACCTGTCACAGGTTGAACCTTGCCTGTCACAGGTTGAACCTTCACAGGTTGAGCCTTGCCTGTCACAGGTTGAACCTTGCCTGTCACAGGTTGAACCTTGCCTGTCACAGGTTGAACCTTGCCTGTCACAGGTTGAACTGTTTAGCTGGTCTGTCACAGGTTGAACCTTGCATGTCATAGGTTGAGCCTTGCCTGTCACAGGTTGAACCTTGCCTGTCACAGGTTGAACCTTGCCTGTCACAGGTTGAGCCTTGCCTGTCACAATTTGGACCTTGCCTCACAGGTTGAACCTTGCCTGTCACAGGTTGAACCTTGCCTGTCACAGGTTGAACCTTGCCTCACAGGTTGAACTGTTTAGCTGGTCTGTCACAGGTTGAACCTTGCATGTCATAGGTTGAGCCTTGCCTGTCACAGGTTGAACCTTCACAGGTTGAGCCTTGCCTGTCACAGGTTGAACCTTGCCTGTCACAGGTTGAACCTTGCCTGTCACAGGTTGAACCTTGCCTGTCACAGGTTGAGCCTTGCCTGTCACAGGTTGAACTGTTTAGCTGGTCTGTCACAGGTTGAACCTTGCATGTCATAGGTTGAGCCTTGCCTGTCACAGGTTGAACCTTGCCTGTCACAGGTTGAACCTTGCCTGTCACAGGTTAAGCCTTGCCTGTCACAGGTTGAACCTTGCCTGTCACAGGTTGAACCTTGCCTGTCACAGGTTGAACCTTGCCTGTCACAGGTTATACCTTCCCTGTCACAGGTTGAACCTTGCCTGTCATAGGTTGAACCTTACCTGTCACAGGTTGAACCTTGCCTGTCACAGGTTATACCTTCCCTGTCACAGGTTGAACCTTGCCTGTCATAGGTTGAACCTTGCCTGTCATAGGTTGAACCTTGCCTGTCATAGGTTGAACCTTGCCTTTCACAGGTTGAGCCTGGCCCGTGACGTGTACTGTGTTGATATACTCAACCAAACTATCGATTAGGATGACTGGGTCACATATTTACATGAGGCCATTATCGATCAACCTGCATCAACCTTGCAACTACTACCAACTTACATCTGGTGACATTTTTCTACGTAATTTTAAAACGTTTTTCGTTTCGGATATTTTTTTTTTACACACTGTACATAGATTACACAATATAAAGATAAAATCAAAAGAACGCGTCTACTAAACTAAAAAAAGTGTTTATGATACCTGAACACGGATTTTTAGACCTTGACCTACTTTTTGTATGTGGTAAAAAGGATTGTTGTTAGCTTTACCCTGGCCTGTAAGTGTAACTAGATGGCCTACACGGGCCACTAACTTTAACAGGAACTTGTAATCCTACTGCTATAGAGGCTAGGTACCAGAAATTTCATGCAACTTGATTTTGATTTATTAATTATTTTTAATCCCTTTATATAGTGTCCCAACTGGTAAAGCCTGAAAATATAACGTACGTATGCGTCAACTTTTCTGTCAGAAGTTCATAGGTTGGCTGAACAATTTGTAGATCTATTTTTTTTTTTTTTTTTTTTTTAGAAAATAGTCGTGTGCTAGTAGTTGCTAATGACGGTGGCGTCATTTGTTTTTGTGACAACCAGTACGGGAAATTCAGAGTCACCCATCCCTGATGGTGTCACCTCTGTCACTGATGGTGACACCTCTGTCACTGAAGGTATCACATCCATCCGAATGGTTTTATCTACGTCACTGAAGGTATCGGGGGTATCTTTATGGTATCACCTCCATTCAGGTGATACTTCATGTTGGATGTCCCCAAATCAGCTTAGTGGCCCACTTAATACCTAGACTTTAAATTATTTACTTTACTTAGAATCTGCAGTTATTCTTTTGTAATTACAATCCCTACTGACGCTAAAAAACTCGTGCACATTTAAACATTAATTTTGTCATTAATTTAATCGTTAATTAACATTTCTCCCTCACCATTGCACTAACTTTTCAAAATTTTAAGATCGCTATTAGAGCAATGGAATAATTTTTATATTGGAATTTTTATATTTTGTCCCGACAATATATCCATACAAAAATGACTGTCACTGTATGTAAAATCAAGTGTTTAGGAAAGATAACTCACATAGCGTAACATCAGTTTCTATTTCATCAGTTATCTACCTTCCAGCTTTCCAAGCTAATTGTCAGATATTTAGATTTAAAATATCTTTCAGTTTTTGTATATTATACCGTGGATAAGTTAATGTAAATAAAGCATTGTTGAACAAATTAAGTAAAATTTAACAAAGTGATGAATCCAAAACGTGACTCACAGTTTTGTAGTATTAGCTATTTGCTTGATGCCATTAAATGCAGATACAATTATTTTTACATTTTTTATAATGTTACCAGTATGTTGTCTTTTTACACGCCTCTTTAGTTACCAACTCAAAAGTCAATAAAAATAAATTAATTTTTAAAACCTCTCTTCAAATTGTTATCTTTGCAAGCAACAAAGGAGAGATCAGACCTCACTATACAACTGTTGAGGATGAGTTCACCCGCATAAATTTTTACTCACTTTGGCTACCGATTTTCTCTCTCTACTTTAGTCTGCCTACTTTTCTTGTTCTTATAATTAAGAAAAAAATAAGTAATACCCCCTTCCACGATTAATGTAAATGAAATGTTTCTGTTATTATTGTCTGACAGAATACCCTCTGTAGTGTGGCGACAGATGATTACCATAACAAACGTTTTTTAATGTCCTTAAATGAGAAAATAAAATAATACATAATACTGATAGTATTAAACGTCTTTTTTAAACTTCTTTAGTACTATTTAAATTAATTTATTTGTAATGCCATGAAATGCCACACACCTGCAAACAAACAGACTTTGTGACCTAAGTAAACGTTGCTTAAAAGAAAGTTACCACAACGACACCAGTCATGTTTGTTGAGGACTTGATGCTAAAGGTAACATCTTTGTGAAAGTTTTTTTTTTTTACATACGATGTGATGTTGACAAACGATATATATGATGTTGGCATACGATATATATGATGTTGACAAACGATATATGTGATGTTGGCATTATATATATATATATATATATATATATATATATATATATATATATATATATATATATATATATATATATATATATATATATAGGGGCCTATATATATATATATATATATATATATATATATATATATATATATATATATATATATAATGTTGGCCTACAATATTAATGTTAACATACGAAATATATGTAGTTGACGTACGATATATGTAGTTGACATACTATATATATGATGTTGACAAACGGAATATGACGTGGCTTCTAGCTAGAGTGGTTGGTAACAAGTAGAGACTTGCAGAGTGATTTAAAAAATTAAAACAACAAATATTATTGTTCATTATTAGACAATTTATTAATTTAAATTTTTGAATAAAAGCATCATTATACAGCGTATAAATCTTACGAACACACATCTCAGTTCGGGGCTTAATTATATAGCTCTCGTTAGAGTTAAGGGGGCTAAGATTTAAAAAAAATCTTCAGCTTTTTGCATAATGGACGTTCTACTTGTATCGTTCTACTTGTATAACTCTACTTGTATTGTTCTACTTGTGTCGTTCGACTTGTATCACTCTACTTGTGTTGCTCTACTAGGTCGTCATAAAACAAATAAATCTTATGCAATTCGTGCCTGACAACAAAAGCTTCAAGAGAAGGGTGGTCCATACACATTGATTTATACGGATCGGACCCTTTTTTGTTAAAACGTTTTAGTCTTGTTGGAGCTTAAATAAGTAGCTATACCTTGGTTAAGCTAAAATTTCTAGCTAAAGTGAGTAAAACAGTATATAATGTCAAGCCATAATGTCAAGCTACAATGTCTAGCTATAGGGTCAAGCTACAATGTCCAGCCATAATGTCAAGCTATAAGGTCTAGCTATAGGGTCAAGCTACAATGTCCAGCCATAATGTCAAGCTACAATGTCCAGCTATAGGATCAAGCTACAATGTCCAGCTATAGGATCAAGCTACAATGTCCAGCTATAGGGTCAAGCTACAATGTCCAGCTATAGGATCAAGCTACAATGTCCAGCTATAGGGTCAAGCTACAATGTCCAGCTATAGGATCAAGCTAGAATGTCAAGCTATAAGGTCAAGCTACAATTAGCTATAGGGTATACACCTTCCTCCTATTGAAATCTATGGACGCAAGTATATTTTAACATTCAGCAAAATGTGTACTTATTCTACAGCCATTGCACCATATGTTCAAGATGTCATGTAGTGAACTAAAGCTTGTGATAAAAAAGTTGTATGTATATTTGATGACGCACATCCCCCTCCAAACAAAACGTTTGTGTTTTATCACGCACCATCGACCCGAGCACCAGTATATAAGGCGCCCTGTCATTGGCAGAGATCACCTTAGAGAGAAGTTTCCCTCTAGATCCCACCATGGCCAAGTTGATCCTGTCTGTCGCTGTTTTGTTTCTCTGTGGAGCTCTGGTGGCTGGGGAGAGGGACGTCCGCAGTAAGTTGTAGAAGGCTTTTGTTAGGTGTAGGTGGCAGTAAGTTGTAGAGGGGCTTTTGTTAGGTATAGGTGGCAGTAAGTTGTAGAGGGGGCTTTTAGGTTTAGACCGGAGTAAGTTGTAGAGGGGCTTTTGTTAGGTGTTGACAGCAGTAAGTTGTATAGGGGCTTTTGTTAGGTGTTGATCGCAGTAAGTTGTTGAGGGGGCTTTTGTTAGGTGTAGGCTGGAGTAAGTTGTTGAGGGCTTTTGTTAGGTGTAGGCTGGAGTAATTTGTACGGAGGGCTTTTGTTAGATCTAGGCAGAAGTAAGTTGTATATTGGGCTTTTGTTAGGTGTTGACCGCAGTAAGTTGTGTAGGATTTGTTAGGTATAGGCCGGAGTAAGTTGTATAGGGGCTTTTTTATAGGTGTAGATTGGAGTTGTATAGGGCTTTTAGGTGTAGTCCGCAGTAAGTTGTATAGGGGCTTTAGTTAGGCGTAGGTTGTACATGGGCTTTTGTTAGGTATAAGCCGGAGTTAGTTGTATAAGGGGCTTTTGTTAGGTATAGGCAGGATTAAGTATAAGACCGCATTCATGGAGGATCGAATGCCGCTGTCATGTTGTACAAGGGTTTATGTTAGAAGACCGCAGTAATTTTTACAAGGGCTTAGCTTAAGTGAGTTGCTAGGCCGTAACTATAGAGGGCCTTAGTTTAAAGGCCGCATGTAGAAGTTTTTCTGTTTGTTTTGAGGCCAGAGTATGTAATAGATAGGTCTAAACTAGTAATAGCACCGGCGTTGTAGAGCGTCTTATGTATATAACAATGCTAAATTAAATCTAAAATGGAAATATATAAAGCCGGGGTAGGTTGTAGAGGAAGTTAGACATCGGGCCGTTGTAAGTTCTAGAAGGGGCGTATGCCGGTTAATTATAGAGCTGACACAATTTGTATCGAGGGCTAGACCGAGCACTATGTCTGCTTGTTTATCCTAACAATTTTGTCTTCAAATAGGCTTAGCTCTACAGCAGACATTGTATAGAGCACCATTATCTACTTGTATATTCTAACACAACTTTCTTCAAACAGACCTAGCTCTACTGCAGACATTGCTGGGAAGTGCCACAGGGGGATCCACGCTGCCACCCTCCCCTCTCAAGACTCTGTTTGATTCGTTGATTGCCAAGTTGAAGGCCGACCCATTCTGTAAGTTCCATCTAACTGTATAGTCAATCATTAATACAAACGTTTTTATATTTAAACGCACATTAGTCACAATAATCAATCAGTTAACTAATATTTACATAATTCCAGGGCTTGGAGCTTTATTAAGTCAATACGTTTTTCGTTGCTGTTAGTATATTTTTAGCTTATGACTGCCAGTCCATTCCTAGACGTCCTCCATCCAATGACGTCTCTGCCCCTATCGTCTTCTCCCTCCTGGCACCGTGTCCTGCATGTTTATATTTGACAGATCACATGACCATGTCACATGACCATACAATCTGAGTTACTTGACGATATTTAGCTAGTTCTCAAAAGCACCAATCCTATTGATAATATTTTGCTAACCACCTCATGTTTATATGAATTGCCTAGGACCATTTTTGTATTTCATACACATATCAAACTAGTACACATTGATTTTTCTTTATACATTGATGTAGGCAAAAAATAACCCTAAAATTGCCTACAAAGTATAAACATTTTTTTTCGGCTATATTGCTAGTTAAACGATGTTGAAAGAAATTTGTTTTACATTTTAATGGTTTGAGAAAATGTATACATTCTATCCATCCTCCTGTTAAAATGATTAACTCTCACTGTTGCAACTGCCGACAGACTCAACCCTGGCCAGCAGGATTACCCTTCTGAACTACAGCACATACCTGCCACTCATCCAGACAGCTTTAAGCAAGAATCCAGCATTGGCCGCAGTCGGTAGGCTCAGTTTAACATTTGAATCATAGGAGAATATATTTACATCAATAAATACTTGCACATATATATATATATATATATATATATATATATATATATATATATATATATATATATATATATATATACATACATACATTTATATTCTCTCCGTATAAAACTATATTTAACGTTGAATATTAATTTTGATATTTCAGTTACTCAGCTGAAAGCTGTAAGTATATCTTTGAATTAGACTTAGCCCACACACATCATTCATTTTTTTGTTTCTTGATATTTTTTCTTGTTATTATTTGACTCGTTTTGTTAGAGTTTTGTTTTTATAGTGATCTTGTTAAAATGTAATTTTTCCCCCGCACAGCTTGGCTAGAGTGTGACCTATACACCTGACCTGAGATAAGGAAATGTTATACAAAGGTTTTGTTTCGTATCCTATCTGGCATTAAAAAATATTTTCAAGTTTTTTGTTTTGTTTGTATCTATCCATAACTGAGCACTGTTTTGATGTTAGTTACTTACAAAAACCTAGTTCAGGCTTGGTTGCAAGTTCTGACAAAGCTCAAAGTTGTTGGCGAGAGGTAGCAGTCGGTGAGATGTAGTAGTTGGTGATATGTAGTTGGTGAGATGTTGTAGTTGGTGAGATGTAGCAGTTGGTGAGATGTAGTAAATGTTGAGATGAAGCAGTTGTTGAGATGTAGCATTTGTTGAGATGTAGCAGTTGGTGATATGTAGTTGGTGAGATGTAGTAGTTGGTGATATGTAGTTGGTGAGATGTTGTAGTTGGTGAGATGTAGTAAATGTTGAGATGAAGCAGTTGTTGAGATGTAGAAGTTGGTGAGATGTAGCAGTTGGTGAGATGTAGCAGTTGGTGAGATGTAGCAGTTGGTGAGATGAAGCATTTGGTGAGATGTAGCAGTTGGTGAGATGTAGCAGTTGGTGAGATGTAGCAGTTGGTGAGATGTAGTAGTTGGTGAGATGTAGTAGTTGGTGAGATTAGCAGTTGGTGAAATGTAGCAGTTGGTGAGATGTAGCAGTTGGTGAAATGTAGTAGTTGGTGAGATGTAGCAGTTGGTGAGATGTAGTAAATGTTGAGATGAAGCAGTTGTTGAGATGTAGAAGTTGGTGAGATGTAGCAGTTGGTGAGATGTAGCAGTTGGTGAGATGTAGCAGTTGGTGAGATGTAGCAGTTGGCGAGATGTAGCAGTTGGTGAGATGTAGCAGTTGGTGAGATGAAGCAGTTGGTGAGATGTAGCAGTTGGTGAGATGTAGCAGTTGGTGAGATGTAGCAGTTGGTGAGATGTAGCAGTTGGCGAAATGTAGCAGTTGGTGAAATGTAGCAGTTGGTGAGATGTAGCAGTTGGTGAGATGTAGCAGTTGGTGAGATGTAGCAGTTGGTGAGATGTAGTAAATGTTGAGATGAAGCAGTTGTTGAGATGTAGAAGTTGGTGAGATGTAGCAGTTGGTGAGATGTAGCAGTTGGTGAGATGTAGCAGTTGGTGAGATGTAGCAGTTGGTGAGATGAAGCAGTTGGTGAGATGTAGCAGTTGGTGAGATGTAGCAGTTGGTGAGATGTAGTAGTTGGTGAGATGTAGTAGTTGGTGAGATGTAGCAGTTGGTGAAATGTAGCAGTTGGTGAGATGTAGCAGTTGGTGAAATGTAGTAGTTGGTGAGATGTAGCAGTTGGTGAGATGTAGCAGTTGGTGAAATGTAGCAGTTGGTGAAATGTAGTAGTTGGTGAAATGTAGCAGTTGGTGAGATGTACTATTTGTTGAGATGTAGCAGTTGGTGAGATGTAGCAGTTGGTGAGATGTAGCAGTTGGTGAAATGTAGTAGTTGGTGAAATGTAGCAGTTGGTGAGATGTAGCAGTTGGTGAAATGTAGTAGTTGGTGAAATGTAGCAGTTGGTGAGATGTAGCAGTTGGTGAAATGTAGTAGTTGGTGAGATGTAGCAGTTTGTAAGATGTACTATTTGTTGAGATGTAGCAGTTGGTGAGATGTAGCAGTTGGTGAGATGGAGCAGTTGGTGAGATGTAGCAGTTGGTGAGATGTAGCAGTTGGCGAGATGTAGCAGTTGGTGAGATTTAGTAGTTGATGAGATGTAGCAGTTGGTGAGATTTAGTAGTTGATGAGATGTAGTAGTTGGTGAGATGTAGCAGTTGGTGAGATGTAGCAGTTGGTGAGATGTAGCACTTGGTGATATTTAGAAATTGGTGAGATGTAGCAGTTGGTGAGATGTAGCAGTTGGTGAGATGTAGCAGTTGGTGAGATGTAGCAGTTGGTGAGATGTAGCAGTTGGTGAGATTTAGAAGTTGGTGAGATGTAGCAGTTGGTGAGATGTAGCAGTTGGTGAGACGTAGTAGTTGGTTAAATGTAGTAGTTTCCATAAAGACTGAAACCAAACACAAAACAACAAGAAATCTAGTCAGGAAGTTACCTGAGGTACCAAACACAACACGACATACAGCAATATTTGTTTAAGACAACCTGAGATTGCATCGTCCAAACAAAGACGTCTTTGTTCGGGTGTTCTGTAACAAATTCTGTAACAAGTAAGCCCCGAACATCACAACACAATGTCTTATCTTTGTGTGACATCTTTTCTGTGAACGGACAGCAAGACGGTTCAAGACATCTCGACCTTGATACGGTTCAAGACATCCTGACCTTGACACAGGTCAAGACATCCTTACAGTCAGCTGAAAGTGTCTTTATCCTCTGGAAAGGTCGTACAAAGACTTCATTGTTCCCTGTTACAACATTAGCGATGTCGAAACATGTCCAGATCTGTTTATGAACACTGGGGGACACAACTGCTGAGGTTTATGTAAAGCCATGCTAGTATTGTGAAAGTTTTAAACTAGGTCGCAGTCTACGTGCTACCAGCATTGACCATTGAATTCCCCCCCCCCCCCCGGACATACATTCCCTGCACATACGCCCTGTGACAACAAACCTCTCACAGCTTCCACCCAAAGACGTACACAAAAATCTTGAAGTCCAGATCTCCTAACAAGATATCTCAGAATTTGTTAATAAATTTAGTTAAATTTAGTACATCTGTACTATCTAATTTATTCTTTGATTGGATGAAACTTTGACATTCTTGAGTTTTCACCGGAGATGTATTGATACGTCTGTTTGAAAGAAACCCTCTTCAGTAGCAAAGGACAAAAACTTGACAACAAGCAACCATCAACTCCATCAAACCCCAATAAAATGTGAATTTAAAAATGGTTTGTAATAGAAACAATGGGTAGAGCTTTTTGTAGGCCTAAACCACACAGAAACCTACACAAACAACATGTCCACATACATTGTTTTATGTGTGGTGGCCTAAACCACACCGATACATCCACTAACAACCACACATGTCCACATATATCAATGTATCTTGAACATTTTAGCTCTGGTTGAGTGGATATTAATATTTAAGATTTAGAGATTATCTTATGTTCTCTGCTCGTGTATCATGTCCTCGTTTCTCATGTCCTTTTATCTTGTCCTCATGTATCTTGTTCTCGTGTATCGTGTCCTATTACCATGTCCTAACGGTCCTGTTAACAGAGTGACGTCCTTGTCCCAACTCGATACGCATCACTGAAGAGCCACCAGGACGAAAAGCCCCACGTACATGAGAGGTTTAGTTGTAGTTGTAACGTTAACCTTTCTATCAGCCAAATAGAAGGAGAACGTCCCCGGATTCTTTTTTCGGGGTCATATGCAAATGCCTTACGGCCTAAGTGGATGAACACTTAACACAACGACCACTAGGGCTCGAAATTAATGTCTAGGGGAGCTAGTGATACTATTGTAATTAACACTCATCCAATCTACATACGACCATTTAATCAGCGAACTCAGATGTGGCAAAACACCAAGATGAACTAGATAAAATATTTAATGTATAAAATATCAAAAACCCAACTTACACAATGTAGGAAAAAACACTATCACAGATTTCTACACTGTCCTAAGAACAGCTACAGGCCACACAACACTGCTGTAGCTTCTAGACTTACTTAGCGACAAGTAATATTAAACTAGAAGATTAAATCACTTAAGAAAGCAAGGCACACACAGGTCTTAAGTACTCTCACGTTCAAATGGTCAGAGTCTATAGCCGGACAATATGGACGGCTGCCTGACTAAGGTAAAACGGCCTCGTAGACTTTCAGGTCAAGAAAAACTGCCACGTGTTGCGAGTGTGCGGGGCAATTAAAGACTTCTGTGACAGGGGAGGTTATCCTCAACTCATGTCACCATTGGTTGGGATAATCATCTGATCAGAATCATTCAATCAGATTTTAATGGAAATTTTCTATGTCTCAAACACCTTAATAGTCAATGGAAAAACCCCAGGTGTTACACAATCATTCCATATAAGGAATTATACAATGTCAAAATAAAAATGACTCGACCTAAGTAGGTCACATCCCCTCCCTTTTTGGAAGTGACAGATAGGTTCCACAAAAACATACATAAGGAACCAATCTGGCAATGAAATAACAAAAATGTTTTACAAATGTAGGCAATCAAAATCATAACACCAGATGAAAATATCCCTGAACATAAAAGGGAAGTAACTCCAACTTTTACAATTGGTGAAAGGGGAGTAACCCTTCAAAAAGTAATTATACATCAAAATTCCTCAAGAAAGGGTATTACAATTTTTCCATGAGAATATTAAAAGTGGTAAACCCGCCAGGGTAAGACCTTTATTTCAATGACTAGCTACAATATCAATTGAGTCATATGAGACATTTTATTATAAAAGATTACATATAATCAAAAACTACCTTTAATTAAGGTTCACCTGAAAATAAACAAAATATTCAACAGGATTGGAATTTTGAAAAAAATTCAAAACTCACATTACTCATTTTCATATGAGTGACACTCAAACAAAACCTGTTTATGGTCCTAATGAACCACACAGCATGTCACATGATCAATGTATACAACAAGATTTTACATCCTTGACAAACAATCAGCCACAACATTATCACTACCCTTAATGTGTGAAATTTCCAGATTAAAATTTTGGAAATATAAGCACCATCTCAATATTCTTTGATTAGTCTGTCCTAACTTAGAGGTAAATTTTAGGGGATCATGGTCAGAAAACACTCTGACTGGATTGGTTAAAGAAGAGACATAGACTTCAAAATGTTGTAATGACAAAACCAAAGCTAAAGCTTCTTTTTCAATAGTAGAATAATTCTTTTGGTTCTCATTTAACTTCCTGGAAAAAAAGGCAATGGGATGGTCAATTCCCATGTTGTCTTCTTGAAATAGGACTGAGCCAATGGCTAAGTTGCTAGCATCAATGGCAAGTTTAAAGGGCATGCTAAAATTTGGTGCAGCCATAACAGGAGCATTTGATAAAAATGACTTAATGGTTAAAAAAGCTTCTTGACATTTATTGGACCATTCAAACTCAACACCCTTTTTCAATAAGGCAGT